CGCCCGACGAAGGCGTCACCCCCAGGAGAGCCCGTCCCTTCCGTATCGCGAGGCCGATGTGAAGCAACCTCAGTGGCTGCTACTACGAGGTGGCTTCCTCGTGGGTTCCACACTCGTTTCGTAACCGAGCGCGGGCTTCTCTTTCCCCAGTGTTCGCTCCCTTGCTCCGCCTCTCCCCTCCGCCTGGAGACCACGATTACATCTACAACCTGGACGAGAGCGAAGGCGTCTGTGACCTTTTCGACGTGCCTGTCCTCAACCTCTGACTTCTCAGCACGGCTGCGTGAGCCTCGCCCGACACAGACTGTTTTGTAACTCTTTGGAAAGTGTTTATATTTTTGGATTCCTTTTGCGCTAGAGCTCGATGAGCGAGCGATTCAGAGATGTTCTCACGTGGACTCAGAACCAAGAGATGTGGACTCGCCAGCCGGGAGCCTCCCCGTAGCTTCTTCCTCTGTTGCCCGCGCAAGGTGCGCGTGCAGCGCGCCTCGATGCCTCTCTCTTTCCAGGGTCTGTGTTTTGAGTGTTTCCAGTTCACCCGTAGGGTTTGCCCACATGCCTCTCCAACCTTCCTCAGCTCCACATGCCTTGTTTGGTTTTTTTTTTTTTTCCCTGCACTCCTCGAGGCACTTTGCACCTCCCAGGTACCAGCTGCTCCAAGGAGCCCTCAGATCGTGGTCAGTTCGCAAGCCCGGAGGTAGCGAGCGCTTGATTTCCCCATGTGAGCAGTTCAGATTGGGCTGGTTATAAGTTCTGAATGACATTGAGGTGGCGGGGGGGGGGAAAAAGAAATCAAAACACAAAGGCACCAAAGTGTCCGTTTCTTCCCGTGACTCCAGACCAAGCTAGTATGTTTTACAAGAAAAAGCACTTTTTTTTTAGCCAGCTGTGCCTCCTGGTAGGACTTGGGAGCCACGTGTTCCTAGTAGGACCCAGGAGCTGAGTCTTCCCTGCTCGTGCATCACCAGGAGCGCTGGTTCTGCCCTCACTCTGCTGATGCATGAGCCCCGGGGCTCCTCGTACAGCAGCTGCGCTGTTTCTACAGGGCTAAAGAAGAGGTGCCAGTATGGTTTGGGTTTATTTGTTTTTAATTATTTCTTGGTTTATGCCTCAGTGAAGAGATGTTTGAAAGGATAAGACTGCTCCACCTGGTGCCTGTAAGGTACTCCAGGTACCCCAGAGCCTGCTCATTTCTGCCAATAGCTGTCTTCTCCAACCATTGCACTTGAGCCTTCGACTGTCTAAAAAAGGCGACCAAGGAGTAACAATTCAGTAGTATTTGCTGTGACAAGTTACATAGGCATTGTTAAAATAGTGCTCTTTTTTTTTTTGACCTCCCTTTTTCGCGGCATCTGCTCAGGATCAGCCTTTCTGTATATTTGAATTTGTTCCTCCGGTGTCCGTACCCGCGTTCCCAATCCCTGATCCTGTGGCGGGTCGCTACCTGGCGTGATGCTTTCTCCGCATCGTTTTCCTGCAAAATTCGCTCCGTTGCTTTCTTGCTGCCTTCTTCCGTTGCGGCAGGAGCTCTGCTGCTGGCTGAGGATGACCGGGTGGTGCCACTCACAGACCCTGTGCGGCCCCGATGGGTTTGTGTTGTATTTCGCAAGCCCGAACTTTTGTTTTTCGGTCAGATCTTGTATTTTAGCGCCTTCAGTTTTGCACATCTTCCTGCCCACACGGTGGTAGCAGCTCTCCTGCCTCTTCTGCCCCACAAACTGCCCCAGAGGGCCAGGCCAGGAGCGTGGCCGACCGGTGCCACTTAACTGGCTGACTTAAGTTCTGTTTCACCGCTCGCCGCCTGTGAACCGGAGCACCAGCGACGAGGGATGGAAAGTCTTCAATTCTTGGAGCCCACCGAGGTGACAAGAAGTACGGGGACCCGCGTCTCTGTGACGT